TGTTTGCATTTTTACGACCGTACATGACGGTACGAGTTCAAGCATATCTCACGTACATTAGCTGCAAGCCAGTGGTGTGCGAATACTGTTCTTGCTATAAACCAGTAGCGAAGTTTTTCCATTTTTGAAGGTTTTGAAAAAAAATGTGTAATATCGCAGTACTTTGCTAACCTATGAGGGAGATAATGAAAGATGAATGAATATGATTATTTAGCAAAATAGAATAATTAAGTCATAAAGGCAGATAAATTTGGTTAGAAATAGACAAAGATATTAGCTGACACACTGGCAGAGATATATGTGAGCTTTCTAAAACTCACTATAATTGCAAGACAACCGCTGTATGTGTGTGTGTGCATTTGTTTATTTATGTGCGCGTGTGCATATTTTGTTTATTTGTATGTACGTCTCTCTCTCTCTCTCTCTCTCTCTCTCTCTCTCTCTATATATATATATATATATATATATGTATATGTGTGTGTGTGTGTGTGTGTGTGTGTATGTGCGTGTGTGTGTGTGTGTGTGTGTGTGCGTGTGTGCGTGCATGTGCATGCGTGGGAGTGTGTATACTTGTATACTCATATATATATATATATATATATATATATATATATATATATATATATATATATGTATATATATATATATATATATATATATATATATATATATATATATATATATGTATATATATGCATATGTATATATACATATACATATATATATATATATATATATATATATATATATATATATATATATATATATATATATATATATATATATATATATATATATATATATGACTGCCGCGATGGCTCAGTGGTTAGCGCACTGGACTCCGACCCTCGTGGTCCCGGGTTTAATTCCCCGTCGCGGCGGTCGTAATAATGCCTGCGCTCTGACTGCTTCCTCAAGCCCGAGAAAACGACATATCAGCTTGAGAAGTCAAACGCAGGTGTCGTAGGGGAAGTCACCGCCGTGGCACAAGTGTTAACGCGCCGATCCGCGGTTGATTAGGAAGGGCATTCAATCAGGCAAGGGTGACACCGCCATATAACCTCTCAAAAGTGAATTGAGAGAGGCCTATGTCCTGCAGTGGAATGAATGGCTGTTGAAAAAAAAAAAAAAAAAAAAAAAAAAAAAAAAAAAAAAAAAAAAATATATATATATATATATATATATATATATATATGTATGTATATATATACTTATATATATATATACATATATATATATATATATATATATATATAGAGAGAGAGAGAGAGAGAGAGAGACATTATATATATATATATATATATATATATATGTATATATATACATATATATATACATACATATATACATACATATATATATATATATATATATATATATATATATATATATATATATATATATATATATATACATATACATACATGTGTGCATATATGTGCATATATAAATATATATATATATATATATATATATATATATATATATATATATATATATATATATACATATATATGTATATACATATATATACACACACACACACATATTCAAAATAAATATTCAAATAAAACTGAATAACACTGGACTTAGATTCCGAAGGCACTCCAGCCAACTAAAGCACTTGGCAAATCATTCTTCTGTGACGCCGAGCCAATAACTCGCCAAAGGCAAGAATTACTACTCTAGCTACCAAGAGCCTTCTGATGGGCGACTATGTAGATGATGCCAAATTCCCAATATCCTGTAAAGCAAAGGTCTGACTCAAGCAAGATGGCAAGTAGAAGCTGATCACCACACAAGTGAACAGTACTCTACCAAGCTGAGAATGAAGGATCTAACACATACTACAAAAATGGAGGATCTGTAGAATCCATACAACTTCCATAAGCCTAAAATGTGAACATTACATCATCCATTATTCCTAGAATCTCTAAAATGTCAGCATTCTCCATCAAACGTCCAATGACAATCGCATCATGATGATGAGGAAAACATCCCCTCTATCAAGAATTACTGTCTCTGTAATCTTTATATTCAATAAGACAACCCACATGTGAACGTCAGCAGCAGAAGATATCCTATACAGATTATCCACAACAACAACAAGTGCGGCGTCATTAACATAACTATAAACAGCAGCACTTACATCAGACATTAATTACGAATTCTACAACAGAAATAGTATGGGCCTCAAAAAGTCACCCTGACGGATATATACAAGAGATAACTCCCATCAAATCGAACTGAAAAACAATACAACCAATACCAGTCAAAATACACACATACACACACACGCACACACACACACACACACACACACACACACACACACATAGAGAGAGAGAGAGAGAGAGAGAGAGAGAGAGAGAGAGAGAGAGAGAGAGAGAGAGAGAGAGAGAGAGAGATAGAGAGAGAGACAGACAGAGAGAGAGAGAGATGGGCGAGGGTATGCGAGAGGCTAGAGAGAGAAAAAAATACTCTCGTGCATGAAACACAA